GGCGGCACCGTCCTCCCCTCGGGCCGTGAGGGGGGCGCGGCCCCTCAGTCCCGGGCCGGGCTGCTGGCTGCACGGTGGCTCCGGGCTCCCGGGGGCTCGGGCCTCGGCGGGGCCTAGGCCCACAGGCTAGAGCCGGCGCTGGCGGCCGCCGGCCCGGCCGGGGAGGCTGGTGGGCGCTGCCATCCCGGGAGGGGGGTCGGGGTCGGGAGGGGGGGGCGAGAGGTGAGCTGAGGTGGTGCTGTGTGAGGGGACTGGGGGGGAAGGGGGATGGGGGGGGTCCCCGGGCTCCGCCTCTCGCCGCCGCCGCCGTCTGCGTCCCCGCTGCCGCGCACTTGGCGCAAACTTACCGCGAGCGCCCGCAAAGCCGCCCGCGCAGGCGCTCCGGGCTCGCCGCTCGCCGCGCGCAACCGCACTGACAGCCGGCGGCCTCGCTCCCGCGCAGCCGCGCAGAGGGGGCGCCCCCCAGCGCGCAGCCGCGCTGGCAAAAGCCGAGAGCGCTGGCGCCCCTCCCACCCATCACTGCGCCGGCGCATTGAGACCCGAAGGACCTTCTTCCTGCGCAAGCGGACTGGAGGGCTCCCGAGTCTCACAGCGCAGCCGCTAGGAATAGAGGAACCCTTCAGCCGCAGGCGTCAGTGGAGTGGCCAAAGACTAGTTGCTCCCTGCGCAGGCGTGCTGAGAGCTCCAGCCACCCCCGCCTCCACCTCTGCCACAGCCGCACCCGCTTCGTGCGCAGGCGTATTGTCGCCTCACGAGAGCTCGTTTCCCTTCGCCATCTTGGTAAAGGGAGCTCGTACGGGTATATCCTTGGAGCTCTCCGACTTTGGTGAGCAGGGCACGACAAGCTCTGGTGCTGGCTGAGGTTGTTAGGCCGTCGGTGGGGTCGGAGTTTTTAGTGATGTTAGTCGGCACCGTTTGGTTAGGCGCCAGTGCTGACGGCTGCGCTGGACCTGGCTACCATGTTTGTAAAGGGGGGAAAGGGACACTGAGACGGAAGAGGTGTTGCTAGGGGCACCGGCAGCCACGGCCGCATCTATATTCCTGACCCCTCCCTGCTCGAACAGTTAATCGGACGACGAGGATCCCGGTATTTACGGGGAGGGGGGCGACGGTGATAACATTTCTCACTAGAGAGCTCCGTTTTATCTTGCCTCTGGACGACAGTTCCAGGGAATTGCTTTTCAGTACTAGGGCAGGGGCGGAGAGCTCCTCCTCCACGTCAAAAGCCAGAGCTACCTGCCTACAGCGGACTTCGATTCCCGACATGCAATGCGCCAGGTGGCCCAGGGCGTGCGGGGAAGCGCATTGCAATCTGGGAACTGAAGCCTACAACCCTCGGCGCGCGCTATGGGAGTTGTAGTCCGGGCGGCGGCGCGGAACGTTTTGCACAATACAGTATTGAAAGAACACTGAAATTAAGGAGATACTCAGAGGGTTCAAATCCTGGCTCCGGCACCTAATAGTTCTGCTTGCCGACAGCGAGGCCCAGACTAGCCCAAGAAACCAGTCATAAGCCGGCTATGATGATAATGCTTGCACCATCTGCCTGCATCACAGGGAACAAGAGGAAAGCGCTTTGGAAGCCTATGGTAACTCCCATTTGCACAGCACTTTAAGGTTTGTAAAGCGCTTTCTCCACAGTCGCCATGCAAGGTGAAAGCGTTGTGCTGTAGAAATGGGAGCTGCCGTTAGTGTAACAAACAACTACGTAAGAAGATGGTCTGTCTGCTAGGAGCTGGAGTGCTGCATGCTGGGATTTGTAGTCTCTGAGAAGTAAGCGTTCCTTCCCGGTCAGGGATAGAGGTCCCCACTGGGGGCTCCCAATGAAGTCTATAGGTCAAGAGTGAGCCCTACAACTGTTGTTGATTGTAAGGTGTGCCAGGCCCTTAACTGAGCATTGTTAACAAATAGTTGGGTGTACTTCCCAAGAATGTCAAATCTCTCCAGGAGGCAGGCATATAGGTGTCTGAAGGACATAGGCAGGGTGTTGTCCACTGTTATTTCACTTAGAGTTTGGGAACACTTTGGATTGGGGGTACAGATTGAGAAGAGTAAATAAAGGTCATGCCCCAGGCTGAGGGTCCACCAGAGGTCGAACACAGAGTCATAGAACATTAAATATAGAAAGAAATCTTAGAGGTTACAAGTCATACTGCTAGTTAGTGGCAGAGTTAGGACCAGCACTCAATTTTCCTGGCTCCTTTTTCAGCCTAATGAGTCAGGGTGGTGCAGTGGAAAGACCGATGAATTTGTAATGAGAGGACCTGCATTCAAATCCTGTTTCTGCCTTTTGCCACCCATGTGACATTGGGTCACATTAAGTCACTTTAACCTCCTTTGGGACATATTTTCCTCGTCTATAGAATGATGGGGTTGGATTAGATGATGTCAGCTCTTCCAGCTGTCAATCTAGGATCCCATGATTCTCCCCACTGGACTTCATTGGCTCACTCTAACAAGTTGCTAGTCCATCTTTTGGGATGATAAGATCAGCACAAGTATGTTAAATTAGGTTCCAATTTTTCCTGTTTCAGTCAGGCTACTTATGTCAAGGGAAAGAGGTGGTCTGGTGACCTCCCTAGGAAGTCCTGCCTCCAGGAATCCACCTGTGGGGGATAAACAACTTGTTCACTGCTCCTCTCTGCTGCCCCTCCTTGTGCTGATTATGGGTGGTGAGTGGGCTCTTCCCAGAGTGGAGCAATGAATGAACCATGTAGCCATGTTGGTGGTGGAGGGGGGGAGAGGAGGCTGCCAGCTTCAATCTCTTTGAAAGCCCTGTTGCCCACTTTTAAGGACTCTCCCATGGGCTCTCTGAGGTTGGCACCTCAAAGGCCCTGGTGTCATTGCCTGTACTCCTGCCCCTGAGGGCTCAGCTGTGCTGCTGTGTCATCCCTCTGGCACTAGCTTGGCAGAGAAGCTGGGGAGAGAGGGAGAAGAGGAACTCCTGGCACCATGCCCAGCTATCAAGGGTTTGTTTTGATTGACACCATCAGTTGCAGCCACAAGCAGGAACAGGAGGCGGGCTAATGAGGGAAATCAGGCTGTTCTGGTGACAGGTGGCAGGGAACCAAACTGCTCAGGAGACCTCCCATTCAGGTCAGGGAAGAAAGGAGTAGCTCCCAAGGGCAAAGGAGAGGACCTTGGTGGGCTGGGTGAGAAGAAGCTCCCCTTGGAAAGCCCCAGACCTGGAAGCTAAAGCATGAGCCAGATCTAGCAGAATCCTGTGCAGGTGACCTCTTGTGGTTGATCCGGTAACTGCACCCTCTTAATAGGATTGAGGCCCTCTCCCGTTCCTTGGGGGATGGATGAGTGAGGGAGACATCAGAGGATCCTAGATCTGGAGGTAGAAGGGTCCCCAGAGTTCATCCTAGTCCACCCCCCTCATTTTACAGAGGAGGGAAGTTGAAGCTACTTGGCTAGTAAGCATCAGGATGGATCTGGTAGCTTGCCTTGCATGCTGAGAAGAAGGATGCTCAAGATTCAGCAGGGATGGCGGGAGCTCTGACGAGGCACTTGGGGATGTGCTGGCTACTGTCCTGGGTCTGGCCTGTTGCCTCCAGAACAGTGCCAGCGGAAGGAAGAGTAGAATGGGCCGGGTGAGCAGCTGGGCTCCTGGACCAAAGGGAGTGCCCACCAGGGGAGAAACCAGTCATCTCCCCCTCTCCAGCGGGGAGGCTCTGCGTCTCAAAGCCTCGGTTCTGTGCACAATGGCCACTCAATAAACATTTGTTCGTGTGATTTTAAAGGAGCCCAGGCTCCCTTTTTGTGTCTGCCTTTGCCCTCCCCCAATACTCTTTCAACAAGTAAACACCATCCACCTGACTGCCAGCTTTGTTGAAAACACCTTTTTAATAAGGAAACAACAGAAATGAAAGATTATTCTCTGGCTGGAGCCCAGACCCTAGATCCCATGTTACACTTTACATGTACAAAAGTGGTTTACAACCAGTTCCTTGGGTCCCCCGCTGGAGCAGGCTGGACCTCTGCCTCCAGGGCCAGTTTCCTGGGCTTTTGGACTGCCCCTCTCCTGGATTTGTTTGCCTCTATGCCCCCCCCTCAAAAAAAAACAAGGAAAGAAAAAATATTGGTGGATGGAAGAGAAAATTAAATGTCTGGAGTTGGGAAAAGTTGGGTTGGGAAAGAAGGATGTTTATAATGAACCAGCACATCAGGGCAAAGGGTGTCACCTCTCCTCATCTCCTTCACACACACACACACACACACACACACACTCTCAAACACTTCAGGGGGTGGGGCAGGCCAGGGAAGGATAGGGTTGTCCCCTTTGGTATGGATTACATTTCCCAGGAGAACCAGTCCTGGGTGGGTGGGAGTCCCCAAACCCTTAGAGTCCCTGGGATTTATTCCTTCCCACCCTTCTGGCTTTTGGGAGAGAGGGGTGGTTGTCCTCTCCTGGGACAGGAGAGGGGGATTGGGGAAGCTTATTGAGGTGGGGGGGTCATTCCAGGGAGATCCAGAGAATAGAAGTCCCCTAAGAAGGCAGAGCTAATTGCGGACATGAAACCTGGGTAGGCTCCTTCCTACCTCTTGGTTAGCCCCCATTCTTTGCCTGTGAAGAACACAGGGAGAGGTTTCTGCCACCCACCTGGCCTGCCTGTAGCTCATTTGCCCATGGTTTGAGAGCATAGAGACTGAGTGGAAATGCTCTGACTTCCCAGTCCCCAAGATCCAAACCTGGTGATGGGGAGAGAGGCAGAAGGCTGTTCTTCCAGGGACCAGACAGTGCTTGAGCCTGGCTTGCCCAGAGGCAAATGCCCTCATAGGCTTAGAGATGGGCCCAGAGTAGGCAGAAGTGCCCAGGCAGATGGCTGGTGGTGGACAGTGCAGGTGGGGGAAGGTGCAGCTCTGAAAGGGCTAGGGTGGAGTTCTTTCCAGGTGGTATGTACAGGAGGTGGGTAGGGCAGCAGATAGTGTCAGGGAAGCTGCCGACCAGTTGGTAATGCCAGGCAGGGTGGGCTCCCCCAGACTGCCCCCTCTCCCTAAATGGAGACCTCATATTCCCTCGTCTCCTGCAAAGGAAAGAGACTGCTGGGAGTTGGAAACCACCCAGCAGACCCTGGCCCACCCCCACCCTCCTGGGGAAAGGGATCTTTGGGACAAAGTGGTTCCCCTCAAGAAAAGATGCTTGTCAGGAGCCAGGGATGAGGACTGTTGGGTCAGAAGGACAACACAGGTTCAATTAGGGTACTTACTCCAGTCTCGTAGGTAGGATTATCAAAAGCAGACTCCACAGTGATGTGGTCATAGAGACGGGGCTGAGCCAGAGGCAGCTGCAGTGGACTTTTCCTTTGGACCCTGTGGGACAGAGGGATGGGTGAGTATCGTCATCGGGCCTCTGGAAGTGTCTTGAGGGCAATGGCTGGTACACTTACCTAGAGAAGTAGAGGTAAATGCCTCCCATCAGCAATGCCATAGCCACCAGAGGCAGGAAGATGGCAGCTGCCACGTGAGCGGCATCCAGAGAGTTTGTGGTAGTGGGGGCCTTGGCAACTGCAGGCACAAAGGATAGGGGCTTGGCACTGGTGGTCCATGAAAACCAGGCCTCTTGTCTCCCAATGTCTACTTCCTGTCTTTACCACCCCCTTTTTCCCCATTCTTCATCTCTCTGGCTTTTACTGTTGACATCAGCACCAGTCCCACTGCCTTCTCTGATGAGTGCCCTGGGCCTTCCTCTTCACCAAATTACTGTTTCTGGATGAGGCGGGTTAATAATGGATGGCTTCTTCCATTGTCTTCCCTCCACCCCCTTTTCCCTTCTCTTACTCCCTAGTTGCTACATGAGATTCCCTCCCCCACCAGTAACTAGCAAGGGCAAGCTTTAAGTACCAGGGATAGCGTGTGTGTGTGTGTGTGTGTGTGTGTGTGTGTGTGTGTGCGCGTGTGTGCGTGCACGTGCGTGTGCATGCATACGTGTGTGTGTGTGTGTGTGTGTGTGTGTGTATAGAAATGAAGGAGTGGGGGCTCACCATCCAAGCTGCGACCACTGTAGAACTCCTCCAGAGAGGCTGGAATGAGAATTGGGAGGGGAAGAAGGAAGAGAGATCAGTGATCCAGTTAGAGCCAAGGATGGGGAGATTTGGGGAACAGGGATGGGGCTCACCCAGATAGACCCTGAATGGATTTTCCACTTGAATTGAGGCCAGTTAGTCCAGGGAAGGGCTGAAGGAGAAGAGGGCATGCCAGGGGGAACTCTGCCTATGAGGACATTCTCTGGAAGCAAGCCACACATTGTCATGGGCAATAATGAAGATAATGAAGAGATTGTTCAGTCTCGGTGTTCAGTGGGGACAAGGGAAGGGGAGGGGAGAGTCAGCCAAGAGGTGGGAATGAGAGGTGTGCTGAGAAGGCTCACCAGCCTTGCAGGTGGGTGGGTGGTCACTCCATTGTGAAGGATGTCCAGGCACGCACTTGATGCTGGCCTCTCCCTGCAGCACGTAACCAGGGGCACAGGAGAAGTGGAGAGTGGCGCCTGGTGGGTACAGCCGCTTCTCAGGGCTGCGGACACCATTTTCAGGGGTTCCAGGACCATGGCATGGCTTGTACTGTTCCACTGCAAAGGCAGCCAGAGTCCAGTGAGGGCACTGGGACTGAACACCTGTCAGCAGTACCTTCATCTTTTTTGCCAACCCAGCTACTGCTTCTCTGGTTTGGGGATGACGCTCCCCCTCGCCTTGCACCCAGGACTCCAGCTTCTTATCAAAGGGGGACCCCACTCTTTTTCCTTAGTTTGTCCCATACTCTGAATAGGGCATGTGTGTGGGTAGAGGGTAGGAGTGAGGGTAAACTAGCATACTCCTCCCTTAATCCCCCATTCCCTCCCATCCCCGCACCCAATACCATCTTGGCACTTACGGAGGCATTTGGGGGCTCGGTCACTCCACTTGGGGCTGCCTGCCTGGCGGTCATGGCAGCTAAGGATGGCACTTCCTGTCAGCACGTAGCCCTTGTCACAGATATACTGCACGGTGGCACCCACTGGAAACTTGGGGCTGGAGATGAGCCGACGGCTATGATCCACATCCCCGGGGTCGTGGCACGAAGTTACTGGAGATGGGGGGAGCAGAACAAGCCAAGGCCGAGGCTGGGCATGACCTGCTTATGTCTCCTGCATGGTCCTGCCCTCCGCCTGCCCCATTCCCCAGATGACATGGGTACAGATTCCCAGACTAGCTCCCTTTCCTTTCTGTCTTGACTTATTATTAAGTACTTACAATGTAAATAAGGGCTGTTCTAGGCACTGTGATGGATAAGGCACAAAGGAATGAGACAGGAGACCAGATCCTACTTGTAAAGGTCTTAAATCTGGTTGAGGGGGAAGGGAATGAGATACCCACATAACAAGATAACTAGTATAATGATTGGCAGGTAAAGATAGTGTTTGTGGAGGGAGAGGTAGAGATCACTGAACTCATCAAGGAAGGTTTGTTGGGGGTATAGGTGGGACTTGAACTGGATGAATAGGATTTAGCCAAATGGAAAAGAGAGGGGAGGGCATCCCAGGGAGGGGGCACAGCTTGAGCAAAGGTAGATAGGAGGAAATGAGCATGGTCCATTTGGGAGTCAAGCATGGAGCTTTTATGCCATCCCTTAGACCAGGGGTGGGGAACCTGCAACCTCGAGGCCACATGTGGCCTTCTAGGTCCTCGGGTGTGGCCCTTTGAGTCCAAGTTTTATAAAACAAATCCTTTTATTAAGGGGATTTGTTCTATGAAGTTTGGATGCAGTCAAAGGGCCATACCTGAGGACCTAGAGGGCCATGTGTGGCCTTGAGGCCCAAAGGTTTGCCACCCCTGCCTTAGACCCTTGTGCCTAGCATTAGACTGGAAGTTTCTTGAGGGCAGGACTATCTTTTGCCTCTTTTTGTATCCCCAGTGCTTAGCACAATGCCTGGCACACTGCAGGTGCTTAATAAATGCTTACTGATTGATTGATAGATAGCATGGCTCTTCGATCCTTTCCCTCATGTCCATGTTTCCCTCTGCTTCTTTCTGTCTGCATTTATACCCCTTTGTATCTGCTTGACTGTTTCTGATCTGGGACCAGCTAAATGTGGGGGTGGGGAGGGGAAGCCCACTCACCCCTCTGACAGGTGGGCAGGTCTTCACTCCAGGTGAGATCCCATTGGCACATGAGGGTGTTGACTCCAGTGACTTCAAAGCCAGGGTAGCACTGGAAGGTGACCACAGTGCCATGGACCAGCTCGGGTTGGGATGGGCTCTTCCAGCCATTGGGGATCTCGGGCAGCTCTGGGCACGTGTCATTGCGGGGCACCTCTGGAGATACAGGGCCCGTGGGGGAAGAAGGGATAATGAAGTGGTCCAGACTATCCCAGGCGTCAATGCAGTCTGTAAGAGGCTTGGTGCCTCCTTCCTCCTTGCCCTAAAGGCTGCCCATGTGCCCCTCTTTATCCAGCCTTTGCCCTCTGTTGGCAGTCTCTGCCAACTTCAGTGTTCTAGTGGCCTTCATACTTCTCCATCACCTTTCCTTAGATTATCTATCCAGAGTTGGAAGAGACCTCAGAAGCCATCTTAATCCAACCCCATCATTTTATAAATGGGGAAACTGAGACCCAGGTAGGTTAAGTAACTTGCCCAAAGTCACATAAATATTAAGCATCAGAGGTGGAATTTGAACCCAGATCATCTGATTGCAAAATCAGTATACTCTTTCCAGTATACTGTACTGCCCCCATCTCTCTCTCTCCTCTCCTTTCTTTCTTTCTTCCTTTCTTTCTTTCTTTCTTCCTTCCTTTCTTTCTTTCTTTCTTTCTTTCTTTCTTTCTTTCTTTCTTTCTTTCTTTCTTTCT